CTTGGTATACTCTGGCAAGTTGGGCAGTTGTGGGGGGTACACTTAAAAAAACCCCAAACCCAGTTGGGCAGTTGTGGGGAGTACACTTAAAAAAAAATTCAATCTGCTGAGTGAAAAGTGGGATTCAAATTTAAGGTAGAAGGCATCGTACTACTCTGCAATTCTAAAGAACGCCTATGACCTTCCCATTAAAGCAGGGTCACAAAGGAAATTGAGTCATCAGCTTCTTGCTGTGCAAACCCCCAAAATTTCTCTCTGAGGCAGAAAAAGATCCCCTTTAAAAGCTACGCGGCCCCTGGTAGTATCTGCCACCCCCTTCAGCTCATTCTTTTGCAAGAACCACTTCCCTTTCAGGCTCTTGGGTGGAGTCAGCTAAAACAAAGGTCCTGGGGAAACACAATTGCAGTCACTATCTTGTCCCCAGCCCCAGCCACAACCAAGAGGCAGTGCTGAACTCCCATCACCTCCTCTCCATCAGGGGACCCCAGCCTTGAAGCATCTGACATTGTAGGCTGATCCGAAACCTCACTTGGGTGGCCATGTGTCACCTAGAACTGCACATTGGGTTTCAGTTCAAGACCCATGTCAGCCAACTGCCTGGGGTCTCACAACCTACTATTGAGCACGTGAGGAGTGGGTCTCTGGGTCAGTGCATGTGACATGCTTGCTGGGTCAGAGTGAGAGCTTCTGTGGTGCCTCTTTTCTCATTTTCAGGCAGAGGGCATTGCCCTAACTTGTCTTATAGGCAAGCAACTACCTCTCCCTTTATTCCAAGCATGCAAATGAGAGCATGTCTAGAAGGGCAGCTGGACTCTGATAAGAGAAGTGACTTATTTTAGTTACAAATAACTTGGTTGGCATCTCTGACAGCTGTGGCCAAACCTGGGGAGAGACAGGCCAGGGCAGGGCAGCCAAGAGTCCCGAGCCTGCCGGGAGTGGAGAGAGAAGCCACCCATGCAAGGCTTCACTCATGCTGGCCACAGCGGGCAGGGAGTGTGGGCGAACCACACACAGTCTCCAAAGTCCTCCAGACACAAAGTAACAAATCAAAGAAGCATAAGCATTGGAGTCTAACATGGGAGGATGTTAGATGATGGGGAAATCCCAACTCCACCACTGGGTCCTGGGGCAAGTCATGCCATCTCCCCAAGCCTCGATCTCTTTATCTAGAAAATGGAGTTAAGAGACTGTGTAGGGCTGTTGGGAGGCTGAAATGAGATATCCTGTGCTACCCCAGCTTCATGTCTATCATAGAGCCGGTGCTCACTGAGTGATATTTCCCAGAGACTCAGGACTTAGGACCCTGCTTTACATAGGACCATATGGTACCATAGCCGAGTGTCAGGCTTTTAACACTTCAGTGCTCCTAACCATCTAGTGATGTTCCAGGAGGTGCTAGAAGCCCCAGGACAATACAGAAAATCTTTCTCGAACACCAACTTTGCTATATGGTAAAAAAAGATATATATTATTATTATATTAAACTCAAATTGGGTATATTGTAGAGTAATACATAAAATTGTAATGAGTGCGTAAGGCAGTATTTAAGGCGTTAAACAAATGTTGTTACACCAGTAGACCACACCCTCCCTGCTCACTGCAGGGGGTGGGTTTGAGGCTCCCACAGTCCTCATGATAGAGATATATCAGAGACCAAATGTATAAAAAGTGCCCTGCCCTAATATCTTAACAAGTCGCAGAGAGGGGAAGTCATTAGTCCCTCTCTTTAAGGTTTTCTAAACTATCCTTGGAGTTCCCATCCCTGAGTCTATGACGGTGAGTCAGGAAATAGTTCCTGAATGAATGGAAGGGAATCCGTCATAAACTAAGAATTTCATGCTGTTCAGCATCCCCTCCTGTGTGGGGCAATTTGGGGAAAAAAAAAACCGGAACATTTTCCTACTGGCTGCCAGCCTCCCACACACAGACTTGTCACCGTGCCTTTGCAGGAAGTAGATGTCCAATGTGTAAATGGGGAATACCTGAATTAATTGATGCCAGCCCCAACAGAGACGAAGCTTTGCCTCTTTGCTTCTTCACATGGGAAAACACAGCCAAAGATCTAACTCCCAGCAAGAGGTGGAGTCTCTAATGCTCAATTAGAGAGAAAGGAGCAGAAGCCCCAGGGCTCTCAGATGCTCTCTTCTTTCTCAACACTAGGCACGCAATTCCCAAGCAAAGACCCTCTCACCCACAGAGAAAAGGAGATACATGTGCATGAAGGACTCAACCCCCCTGCCATCCAGCAAGGGTCACTTTCTTCCTCCTGCACAGGACCCCTAATTCAAGATACCTGTTCCCCAACTCAAAGTTTCTGGGTCCAATGTCACTTAACTACATTTGGCCATTTCTCCACTTTTTGCTGTCCCATACACAGATTGGACCCCTTCCTCCTCCCAAAAGCCTTGCTCCTTTCTAAAGTTTTCTCATGGTTGTCTGGAGCCTACCACTCCCCAGAATGAGGTAACAAGAGCTCCTTTCCTTCCCCCTTCCTCTTTCTTAGTCCGCCTCCCCCCATCCACCCCATGCCCAAACCCAAGCCCTCTGACAAAGTCATGTCTCCTTTCCAAGTCTCAGTTCCTGCCAAACAACTTTACAAGCACATGAAAGCGAGGGCCGGGGCAGTTATTGCTACTGGCACTTCATTGTGCTTCCTCTAAATGATGCTCCGCAAAGGGGCCGTGGAAATTCAGGGCAGGAGGGAGCCTGCCAGTCTCTGGGAGAACCCCAAGGGTTAGGACACTGCCCAATATTTGGAGGTGGGCCCTTTAGAAGAATCAGGGAGACAGGCTGGAAGGAGTCAGGAGTCAGAATGCCCAGAGACAAAGCAGAAGATGGCACTGGTAGGTAACACACAAATAAACTTCCCTAGAGAACATAGGGAAACCACCAGGACCCTCTTCTCTGAGGCCAGGCCCAGGGCTCTTCTTGATCTCCAGCTTCCCACTTCTCTCCCATTCTGACTGTTTCTGCTTTTCAAGGGCCTATTTGAGCTCCGGCTCCTTTTGGAACTTTTCCTAAGGCCTAGGGTCCACCGAAATCCTTCCCTCCCTGAAATCCTTTTTGAGTGTGTCCATCTTATATTCTAATCCAACACATTCTAAGCCTAGGCTTTGGAACTCAGTGGAGCTGGGTTTTCATCCGGCTTTGCTCCTGGCGTGTGAATGCCAGCAAGTCACTTAACCTAAGCATCAGTTTTCCTCCCGTCAAACGGGCCTGATAACAGGAAACTTCTTACTAGGCCATTGTGAAGGTAGAATGAGATAACACATGGAAAGGATTTGACATAATGCCTGGCACAGTGAAAATATACAGTAAATGGTAGCTAGTGCTGTATTGCTTTTTCTTTTCTTTTTTTTTTTTTTTAGACAGAGTCACATTCTGTCATCCAGGCTGAAGCGCAGTCGTATAATCTTTGCTTACTGCGACCTTCGCCTCCTAGGTTCAAGCGATTCTCCAGCCTCAATGTCCCAAATAGCTGGGACTACAGGTGTGTACCACCATGCCCTAATTTTTGTAGTTTTTGTAGAGATGGGGTTTTACCATGTTGGCCAGGCTGGTCTCGAACTCCTGACCTCTGGTGATTTGCCTGCCTTGGCCTCCCAAAGTTCCAGGGTTACAGGTGTGACTCACTGTGCCTGGCTGTGTTATTGCTGTTATTATTATTTCAGCTTCAGTAGCATAAATCCTAGATCCCCATATCCCCACCTAGCAATGACCTCTGGCCCACACAGAAAGGGGGATGTGTGTGCACAGAGAACTCATCCTACCTAGCCTATATGTAGGGTCACTTTTTTCCTACTGCCCAAGGCACTTAGTTCAAGATACTTTATAGTGGGTATTCAATCTAAAGTACCCAGGTGGGACTGTGTGTTTCACTTCCTCAGTAACCGCCCCCCGCCCCCAAGAACTGGGTTAATAAATATTTGCTGAGTATAATTTGCTGCAGGCTGAGGTGTCTTAATGACCCAGCCGGCCCTTCTTAAAAGAAAATTTTGGCTGTGATAAGCAAATCGGCCAGGTAATTATCTGTACATATACAGACAAAGAAAGACAATGCCTGGAGTTGAGCTGTGCTAGAATACCTCACACGCAGCCCCTCCCCTCCACAGCCACCGACAGGCACCGACCCTGTTCAGATGTGCTATTGGAGCCCTAGCTCCGGGGTTCCTGATGTTCCCTGGTATCAAAACTCCTCTCTCTGCTCTGAGGCTACCAGGCAGGGAATATGAGCCACTTTACTGCTAGGATTTCCCCACACTGATTGGCAGAAACAGGAGGTAGCAAGGACTAAGCAGCTGGTCCAGTGGTTGCCTCTCCTATTCATGCTCCCTGTCCCAGGCTGGAATCTCGTGGAGACCCGCCCTAGAGCTCACTACAGAGCTGGTTCAAGCTTCCACAGCGCTAAGGTGGCAGTGACAGTGCGGACTGTAAGCTTTGGAACAAAGCTCAGTGGGGAGTTGGGAGAACCCAGGACTTCTTTCTGGAAAGCCTATTGCCAGCCAGTCTCTCACGTGCAATTGTGACCCCCTGTGTGACTACCTTGATAACAGCCACTCGCCCTGTCCCAGCCCCAGTCCCTACCCCGCCTAGCTCTGCCCTGCCTAGACACAGCCCGGTGGGGCTTGGCGAGCCTTTGGGCACAAGAGCCTGTTAGTCCAGACGCCGACTGCGCGCATCCAGGAGAACGGTTATTTTCTGCCATGTGCTCCAGCTCTAGCGACCTCGCCCAAAACTGCGCGCCGGCAGCCTGCCCAACAAACTTTGCTCTCTTTCTCTTTTCGGTTCAACCAAATGGTGCTGCCACAGACACACTCTCCAACGGTTTAGCGCGGATCCCAGCCCTGCTTTCCCGAGCCCAGTGCACGTCACTGGCAGCTCACTTGACTCTAGTCCCCCAGGGCCAACTCAGCCCGAGGGGCTGCCGCCGGGTCGGCGCTGCGCGTCCCGCACCAAAGCTTACAGCTGCCCCCGCTGCCCCGGCTGCGGCGGGCACTCACCGATCTGCGCCAGGCTCAGCTGCACGAGGCAGAGTCCCCAGGCTGCGCGCCACCAAAACTTGTCCATGGTGTCCAGAGCGAACCGAGGGCGCAGACGAGAGGAGCTGGAGGATCCCGGGGGCGCGGGGCAGGGGCCGGTGAGGAGGGCGGACCGAACCTGGCAGAGGCTGGGGTCCGCTGGGCAATGAGGCTGCCTCGGAAGCTGGCTGCAGTTTTTATTCGAGGGTTGAAAGTGACCTAAGACGGAGGGAGGGAGCGAGGGAAGGACACACCCAAGCGAGAGGGGCTGTGACTAAGCTGCCGGCAGAGGTTTAAAGAAGTAGCGCGTTCCTTGGCGGGCCCCTCTGCCGTCGCCCCGCGCTCTACTGAGGTTGTTTTAAATCGGGGCTGCCGGGGACGAGGGTAGGGGAACCGGGAGGGTCGCGGGGTGCTTGTGCCTCCGAGCCCCACCGGCCCCTGAGCCCCCGGGACGCACCAGCTTTCTTCTCCCGCTGGCCCCGAGGCGTCAGGACACAGGATGACTGAGTCCTAAAACCTCGCTCCGTTGGGTTCAGCCTTGGGTCTCTCCTTTCCCGCTAAACTTCTGTTAGAATCCAGCTGGAGAGAGATCTCTGGGTTTCACAGGTAGTTGGATATTCTGGGAGAAGTTCTGGAGACAGGGCGAGGTCTTGCTCTGGGTGGCTGGATGCCTCCCAGCCCTTAGTGGAGAGTGAGGGATGGGGAGTCAGGGGTGGGGAGTTGGTGAACTTCCCAGGGGAAAGAGGGAGAACTCATTCTTTTCCCCCTGAAAAATGAGTGAAGTCCACATGGCTTGAATGAGTTTTTGCTTCTTGTCAGAACAGCTCAGGGAAAGTTACAGGTGGCCGCTCATAGGGCTGGCATTTGGCTCCGTCAACCCATGTGTTCAAGCCAGTGGGGGCGGGCACCTCTCTCTAGCCACCCACATACATGCTCATTTATCCTCCTAAATATCCTTCCATCCACTCATCCATCTATCCACCCATCTTCCCTTATGTCCTTGCAGGGCTCTCGCATCCATCCATCCATCCATCCATCCATCCATCCACTAACCACTTAGGTCCATCCATCATCCTGTTCATCCATTAATGCAACCACACACCTTTTAATTTATTCATACATCCAACCACCTATTCTTCTATTCATCCTCCCATACATTATTTCACACATCCTTTTTCACGTCTCTTCATAAACTCACAACAATCTACCATCCTCCTCTTCACGCATCCACCCACACACCTGTTTATTGATATATCCACTGGTCTCCCATCCATCCATGAACGACATATCCACCTATCATTTTACTCATTCTCTCATCCACCCATACATTTATCTATTATTTTTTGCCCCCATTATCCTCCTTTCTGTGTAAACATTAATTTATTTTCTCCCATCTCTTCTACCCAGCAGCTTTTAAAGTAGAGATTGTAATATTCTTCAAGGGAAGCCTTTTGAGATTGAAATATCATACTTTGAATGATAACTGTATATCTACCTATAATATACTATGCTTTAATATTTGGAATTCAAACACAGTACTTATTGTTCATGTGAACTACTAAAAGTAAATCTGCATGGACTTCTTGCCTAGTAAGTTACACAGAAAGTGAAAGTGATTATCAGTGTCTGTGGCAAGACTGAAGGAACCATGCTAGAACTTCTGAGGGAAGGTAAGATTTTGTTATTTATTTCAAGAAATTGAAAAGTTGAGAGAAATGCACCCAACCATCCACCTACCCATTCATTCATCAAATATGTCATGAGTGTTGTGGGGTATCAAGGTAAAAAGACCATGCCCTATTTTCAGAGGCCTCACCCTCTGGTAAGGAATCAAACTCCCAAGCCAGCCATTACCACGCAAGGTGAAATACGCCGCAAAATATGTGTGTTCAGGGTGCTACCATTCCTAGAGAAGGGAGTCATACTCTCTCCTGGAGAACACCAGGCAGTCTTCACAGGGGAGGTGATATTTGAGGCAGGTCTCAAAAGAGGAAGGGGAATTCTTCAGATGAAACTACAGGGACGAGTCATCCATTGGCAGCATTATGTAATGACAAACAGCAGGGATGGATTCAGGAGCCAGAACACCTAGGTCCAAACCCTATCTTGGCTGCTTCTTAGTTGTGTGACCTTGACTAAGGCAATTAACTTAATTTGCTCAAGTATAAAATGGGCTCAATAATAGCATCTATGTATTTTATAGACTTGGTGAGGACTAAATGATTCAAAGCCCTGCATGTATTAAGCATTAGATTTATGTTTATGTGTGCATGCAGTAAGCACTATAGGTAAGTGTTTGCTATTGTTACTAAGAGCAAAATTGTGTTTGAGCATAGAAAAGTGAAAGAACATGGCTTGTACAGAGAATGGAGAGCAACGTGGGTTGAACACAATCAGATGAAGATGTCGGGGAAGACAGCAGACACGAGGTTACAGATGTGGGGAGAACAAGGCATAAGCTATGCCAGGGAGTTTGAACTTGAATCTGTAGGAAATAAAGAACCAATGTACATATTTAAAATTATTATTATTATGTTAAAATATGCATAACATAAAATTTGCCATTTCACCCATTTTATTATTTTATTTTTGAAACAGAGTTTTGCTCTTGTCGCCCAGGCTGGAGTACAGTGGCCAGATCTCGGCTCATCACAACCTCCACTTCCTGGGTTTTAACAATTCTCCTGCCTCAGCCACCCGAGTAGCCGAGATTAAAGGCATCCCCCCCCACCAGGCCTGGCTAATTTTTTTTGTATTTTTAATAGAGATGGGGCTCATCATGTTGGTCAGGCTGCTCTCGAACTCCTGACCTCAGGGAATCCACCTGCCTCAACCTCCCAAAGTGCTGAGATTATAGGTGTGAGCCGCTGTGCCTAGCCCATTTCACCCATTTTAAAGTGTATATATCAGTGGTATGTAGTACTCTTACAAGATTGTGCAACCACCACCATTGTCTAGCCCAGTGTAAATTTTTCACGTGCAGAGATCCTGTTTGACTAAAGACTGCTCCTCCTGCATTTTCAGGAAGAGTGTTTGGAACTGAAAAATCCATGTCTGAACCTAGTCCTCAGCCACTCAGAAGCTGGCAGGCCAGGATGCAAAGGGCTGCATGTCTGGAATGAAGACAGTGCCCCAGAACTCCCACCTGAAGAGCAGGTGCTTGGAAAATGCTGCCAGTCTGTAGGAAAGAGTTGCTGCTGCTGTCTGTGACCAAGGGGACACTTTATTTCTTCAAACAATTGGGGGTCAAACCAGCTCCTGGGTAAGGCTTCAGGCCCTACCCATGTGAGAAACCAGCCCTGGTGGGTTCCATGGAGAAGAGCACAGGACAAGGAGTGGCATTGTTCACCTCCAGGCATTTCGCTTTCTTTTCTTGGAGGAAGAAAGTGAAGTGAGTAGTCACTAGGAACAATGTGTGTCTTACTGCGTTTCATGGAACCTGGAGGTTCCTTAGAGACCCTTCAGAAGCAGACATAGTGGTCAGAGTAAAAGCCTAAGAGTAAGCTGTGCCTCTCTGTCCCCAGTCCCCATCCTGACTACAGAAGTTCCACCTGCATCGGTTTTATATACCAGAATATTGCATGAAATTGCATTTTGACAAAGGACTATTTTTAAAAAATACATAAAAAACAACAAACTAGGCCATATCAAGTCCTGGTCCCATCTCCATTAGTGCAGTAAACAATTCCACCAAGGCAAAAGCAGGTATGAAAGTGCTTCACAAACTATAGAGGGGCATGCAAATTCTAGGGGTTGTAATTAGGATTAGTCTCCCCAGCAGGGAGTATTTTGTTTGCCTGCTTCCCGATAGTTTAGTAAAGGACTGAGGTCATTTGCCCCCATACCACAAATGACTCATTTCAAATAACTGACCTGGTGACTTACTGAGTCAGGGCCTGCCTTTGGGAATTCCTGGATCACCTCTCTGAGCTCTCCTCTCCTCCATTTTTCACTGTAAACACACCCTGCCCACACCCTGGTCACACAACCTCTTCCCAAACTCTTAGCTGCTCCATGTCTGTGGTGTGTTGCACCACCTCTCTTTCTAAGCCAAACCATGGGACGTGGGAAACTGGAAAGGAAACTTGATTGATTTGGGTTGACATGAGATCATACTATTTGGAGAGAATCCAGAATGCGAACAGCAGCTTTGGACCAAGAAAGCCCAGGTATGCGCATTGGCTTTCCCCCTTATCAGAGGATGACTTAACCTCTGGGAGTTTTGGTAATCCCAGCCACAAAATGAGGGTAATCAGATCTGACCCATAGTTGACTATGAGCAGTCAGTGAAAGAAGACATCAAGACCTTTTCCTGGGGTGCCTCCCTCATGGTGGAACTCAATGACCTCTAAGCTACCTGAAAACAGGGACACATCTGTCTGGGGTGCTAGCACCTACTCAGCTCTCAGTTCCTGACATACACACTGTGCTCCATAAATAAGCATTACATAAATGCAGGAGGGACTGTTATTTTTTCCCTCCCATCAGAGAACATAGGGGTGTTTCAGGAATCTCATGCACTGGTGGGTGGAAATACATAGACAACCTGACAAGTTTCTAAATAAATGCAAGCAATGGTATCATATTCGGGGTGACTGGTTCGGGAAGACTTCGGTGCAGCCAGAGCATTACTCACTCTGGCAGACTAGGGTTCTTTGCTGAAATATTGGGGCCTGATGGCTTCTGACTGGTAGTAATAAATCCTGTTCCTCTCAAGCAAAGAAAAGTCAAATCTAAACCAAATGTGAGCAGGAGTGTAAAATGCAAAGCTGGGAGATCTTGGGCTGAATCATGGAATTCCAGGATTATAAATGCAACAGGTCACAGACTCTTTTAAAAGGACAATATTTAATTATTTCACAGGACTGCTTCCCAGAAAAGGAATGATCTGGCATGGGAAAGAAAAGGCGACATTCCAGTTAAACCTTAACTCTTAAAAAAATTCATCCTCAGTTCATATTCAGTGTGAATTCTGCACATACAAATGAGTCGTGGTGAAAAAAGCTCTTGCGAAATAATTATTATTAAAGTCTAAATAAACCAGTGGCTGGAAAGCAAACTTCATAAAAATAAATGACCTCCAATGACTAGTCTCAAGCTAACCAACTGTGATTACAGAGCTGAGCCTTTAGGATTAATAAGACTTTCAAATTATGGCAAATAAAGAAATTAGTGTGGCTGCTACACCCTGGAAGTGCCAAGGAGACAGATGCATTTGGATTTTAGATAGGTCCATGTTAGCCACAAAGTGAGTTTTACACAGACTTTTGGAGTTTAAAATAATATGCAGATAGGACAAATCCTAGACTTGGATGATAATAAATATAGAAATGTGAATATTTGAGAATGAAATGTAAATTAATGATGTGTGACTTTACGTAGCAAGCTAACTGGAAGGAAGACAAGTGAGGCAGTGTATATTTTATGCACTATTATTTAAGGGAAATGTAATTATATTTATTTTTAACTATATTTATTTTAATATAAATATTTAAAAATAAATTATATTTTTAACTATATTTCTTAGTTCGTGTAGTAACTAAAATTTATATTTATTCCTCTTCTCCCCACTTCATACAAAGTGGTTAAGCATTTATTGGAAGGCTTTAGAAATCTGTTTCAATGAACATTTAAGCATGATTTGTTTTGGACATAACCATGATTGATATGTAAATGGTAAC